ATTCATTCATTCATTCATTCATTCATTCATTCATTCATTCATTCATTCATTCATTTAACTTTACATCCTTGTAGCCCCTTCCCTCCAACCCTAACCTCTTACTTAACAGTTTCAAGTTGGAGCATCAAGCTCAAATATTTAGTGATGGTAAGAATCGGTTAGCTGGGCATGGTGGCACTTAAAGGGCTAAAGCAGGATTGTGAGTTTGAGGCAAACCCAGGTAATAGTAGGTTCCAGCCAGCTTTGGCTACCATGGAAGATCTTGTTTCAAAATTGAGAATAATTCTGTCGTGAAACATTTATTACACAGAAGGTTGCCGTATTAGAATTATGAGAAGGGCTAAGTGCAAGCTCTCTTTTTAGGCTCGCTAAACTCACTGCTGCAGTGTTGCTGGCTAAGGATGTTCCTGTTTACCTTTTTTCAAGATACGTGCCTACACCTTTCGTCGTAAGTATGTTGTGACAGTGCTCACTCAGCTTAGCTTGCCCTTCCTTCAGGGGATTTCTTAAGTCAGTTAGATTCACATCTGTGTCATAAATATGTTCAATCTAATGAAAATCCAACCAAAGGAAGGAAAATAGTTTTGCTTTAAGCTTGATCTATACAAGTTGACGAGCCCATAGTCATGGTGAGATGTTTTAATGATCTTCTTTCAGAAGTTAATTTATCAGGACAAAAATGACACATAGATTTGAACACACTATTAATAGGTTGAGATGGGTTTTGGATGCATGTCCATCTGAGAGCTGAAAAACAGAGAGTGACCAGTCCCCGACAGATTTTTAAAAGATTGATGTGATTGGTCACTGACCTGATGGATCTATTATATACACAATGTGATTTGTACTAAAGAGCCACCAACCACGTCTGTACTCAGTGAAGTTAGTAGATCATGTCCTAGTTACTGTGTTACAGTTAAAATTGATGTCTGTGGTCCCAAATTTGCACGTGTTTAGGAAACTTGGTGCTACTTGATCAAAATGTAGTGGAAACATGAATGTAATGCAAAACAAAGACTGTCTATCTTGAAAACAGAACAGTAATGAAAAAAACAGCAAAACTTATGATGTAGAAATAAGCTCTACGTCAAGGGAAATTTGTAAGTTTAATGAATTTATTAGTTAAAGAAAATATTTTAAAATACCGAGCTTGAGCTCTAATAATATGTTTATACTAAAGCAGATTAAAAAGACTGAAATCATAAAAGTATGAGAAAAAATAAGTACAAACTTTAAATAGTATCAAAAGACAAAACTGGGTTGAAGAGATGTCTCCAGATGCCAAGCCTGGCAAACTGTGTTCAGTCCCTGGGCCTTCATGAAGCAGAGATCCAGTGCCTACAAGTTGTTCTCTGTCCCCACACATGTGCCCCACACTAAATAAATGCAATTTAAGGTTCATTAATAAAACCATGGAAATAGTGCTGAAGATCCAAGACAAAAAAGGAGCGTGTAACAAATACAGTACAAGTGAAGATAGTCATAGCATTTCTAACTAACCCAAATAAATGTGCAAATTCAGATGCATAGACTAACAGTTGATACATCAAAACTGATAAGAAATAATAAACCTAAATAAAATATTTAATTAGTCAATAAATTTAATTGATTTTTTTTTTGTTCTTTTGGTTGTTGATGTTTGTTTTGGTCTGTTTTAATTTATTATTATTTATACAATATTCTGCCTGCATGTGGGCCTACATGCCAGAAGAGGGCATGGGATCTCATCATAGGTGGTTAAAGAGCCACCATGTGGTTCTGAGAATTGAACTCAGGACCTTTAGAAGAAATGCCAGTGCTCTTAACCTCTGAGCCATCTCTCCAGCCCCTTAACTGATATTTTTAAAAGTATTCTCTAATTTAAAATGACAACTCTGGATGATTTTTATATGTAAGTTTCATTAAATATTTAAGGAATAAATAATGTCTAGATTATTCTATTGAGTTTTTGGAAATTTAGCAACTCAGAGAATGAAAGGAATTACTTTTTTCAAAAGTACGTGACTAAATAAAAATTAGCACCAATAAGTAATAGAAACTAGAAAGGAGCTGGGATTGTAGCTCAGTGTTAGATCTTTTGTCTCCCAAGCATGATGCTGTCTCTGTCTATGTGCTCTACTCCAGGAACAAGGGTGGGGCAGCAAGAGCACATGTAGACACAGGAAAGAGTCAGAAAACAGAAAAGATGGTGCGGTTGGGGTGCTAGTTCCAACTAATATTAGTGTCAGTGTGTTGGCTTCCCTATCTTATCACATGTCGATTTGCTGCAGTTAATGAGGAAGATAGATTTTTAGTTGTAAATTCACACCCTTTTCTCACCATGACTTCAAATCAAAGGCTGTCTTCCTTGACTAAGTATAGCCAGACCTCTGATGAGGTGTGGGTTTCAAGGGAATAGACTAGTTGATCAGACCTGGACCATCTACCCACTCCTTCCCCTCTCCTCCCACCCCCCTCTGTGGTCTGGAGAGTGGTCAGTGTGATGGCGGAAGCAGAAGGGAAGCATCCAAGGAAGAGAAACAATAGTTTCTATAGAGAGAAAGAAAGATGAGTTGACCCTTATGTGACATGGAGGCCACAGAGTACATGTAAAGATCTTTAAATTAGAAAGCTGAAGGCTTTGACTCTTCTACCTAATGACTGTAATATCAGATAAAATTCATGTAAAATATGATGGATTAGATGGTTTCTCAATGTATTTCCATCTCTAGTTATGGTTGTATTTACTATTCATATCTCCAGTAAAGTGTCTGACATATACTATTTACTAAATATTATTATATAACAAAGAATAAGACATTTTTATACCAGTAAGCAAAAGAATATTAAGAGGAAAGGTCATTCAAGATGATAATCGGATGGTTGTTGAACTGTATATGTTAGGAAAGGACCTTACCCATCAAACCTAGAGCTGGCGAGATCTAAATTATTGATATCCAAGTGTCCTTGTGCATTACTTAACCAAGCACTGTTCATGTAAAATGCATGAGTATCTAGCAAGCACAGTGGAAGAACAATGCTTTAATATATTTGCAATATTTTCAGCCATATGCAGTCCAGGAGCTCAAAGCAGTCGCAGGAGTGATGATTACTGCATCTCACAACCGCAAAGAGGACAATGGATACAAAGTAAGCCTTGGATCCTCACCTTTGCGTATTTTATAACTTTTATTTGAATAATATGTGCGAAGTATATTTTCTACACTGAGGAACAAAGCCAGACATTGAAAACAGATAAAAACTTTGAGGCGTGGTTCTCACAGAATATGTACCTCCAAGTGTGTTTACTGGTTCTGGGTATGCACATTATGATAATCTCTTCATTGGGGTTTTAACTTCTGTTTTCCTTGACTTCTCCATCCCATCCCAAATATATCCTCTATAATTTCAGAAATCAAGTCATGTTTTATATCAAGAATATGGAGAATGAATGGGAAGCATCAGGGAGTTAATACCTTGACCTCACTCTCCTCTCTCTCTGATCTGCCCAGGCTTCTCAGTGGCCACCGGATCCGCTTGCTAGCCTCTCTGATGAAATGTCAAAAATAGAGTGGCAAAGGTGAAAAGTAGCTTGAGAGGTGCACACGGAAGGTACACATCACAGTTCTGAGCCGGTGTTTCAGGCTTCTAGGAATATGAATCCATATTCTTACATTTTTCTTATTGTTTGGGAGGACTCCAGACACACTGAGTTCTATTTTAAGTGGGAATAATATTTCATACTAATTTAGGATTTGAGGCCTGCTGGGCAATGGTGACGCAGCCTTTAGTCCCAGCACTCGGGAGGCAGAGGCAGGTGGAGCTCTGAGTTCAAGGCCAGTCTGGTCAAAGGCTATACAGAAATCCTATCTTGAAAAACCAAACAAACAAAAACAAAAAACTGGGGCTTGCCCCGTTCCTGGAGGCAGGGAAGAAGCATAGTTAATTCAGTGTGGAACATGTAAGTATCAGGTATTGTGAGTTAATCAGGGAAGCAAATGTGAGCAGCTGGATATGGAGATCTGTAACTCAAGGAAGAAATATGGGCTTGAAGTTACAGACCTTAGGGATACATATCTATTACAGCATGTAGAATAGAGGCTGGGGAAATGGCTGGGGGGGGGGGGAACGCTTGCTCTGAAAGCATGGGACCTGAGCTTGTTTCCTCAGCACTCACGTAGGAGCTGGGTGTGGCAGTAAGCATCTGTAACCTCCTCGCTATAGGACATTGGCAGAGAACCTGGGGCTTGTTGGCCAGCCAGTCCATCTGAGACAAGGAGCTCCATCCAGTTTCAGCAAGACTTGTTTCAAAATTAAGCTTGGGAGGGGCTAGAGAAATAGTTGAGGGTTAAGAGCACTGCTGTTCTTCCAGAGGACCCTGGTTCAACTCTTAGGAGAGGAACCACGTAATGGCTCACAACCATCTGTAAATCTGTTGGTGAGGGGATCTACTCTGGATGTTATTTCTTCTTGCTCTGGAGCCTTTAGGTGTATTGCTAAGTTGCTAATATGAGATCGCTCAGTTTTTTGTTTTTAATGTAGTCACTTAGTGCCATGAATTTGCCTCTTAGAACTGCCTTTGTTGTGTTCTGTAGGTTTAGGAAGATTGTTTTCTCATTTTTATTTAATTCTGAAAGGTTAAATTTTCTTCTTGATTTTTGTCTTGACCCATTTTAAATTCAGAAGTGAGTTAATAAATTTTTATGAGTTTCTATACTTCCTGTTGTTTCTGTTATTGATAAAGAATTTTAAGTTAAATATGTCACATTGCTTGTGACATAGTATATGCTCTCAAATTTATTTTGCTTTTTTTTAAATTTAGGGTGTAATAGCAGGGTTCCATGCTGTGTCTGTGATAGAATTAGAATATATATTTTCTAAGCAAAGTCCCCTCCAGCTTTGAAACCCTGTAAAGTCTTAGAATTACCTTTTTGTTTGCTTTTGGGGGTTCATGATTGTTCCTAATGCCTTATTTATTACAGTACTTGATAAATTTTTGAAAACTGATTGAACTGTATATAAATAATTAACATCTTTATCTTTTCTCATACATACTTTAATATATTCTGATACATACTTTAATTTACAATGGAAATGGTTTCTTCTGTTTCCTATAACATATAATGCTGAATTTAATAGTGTAGATTTTTGTGGCTCCTTCATGGTTTTTTGTTTTTAAAGATTTATTTTAAATGTATGAATGTTTTGCCTGTATGCAGTACCCTCAGTGCAGCGGACTGCAGCTGGAGCTACAGATAGTTCTGAGCTGCCATGTGGCTGTTGGGAACCAGACCCAGGTCCTCTGCAAGAGCAGCCAGTGCTCTTACCTGCTGAGCCCTCTCTCCAGCCCCATTTCGTGATTTCTTATGTTATCTTTAATAGTTATAAATCTAAGCGTATAGTTAGACATAGTGTATGCATATGTTACAAGGTGGTTATACTGCTGCCTTATATTGACTTGTTACTAAGGTAGATTCAAAGATGGGAAATAATACGTGATTGTCTTTTGACGAGTCTCTGAATCATTATTATCAGTGTATTTTAGTGTTAGTAAATTAGTCTAATGCTGACATTTTTACTTGCTTAATTTGATATTCTTCAAAAAGCCAGATACTTCTACTATAGCTAAGAAAGGGCCAAACAAGCATTTTAACTAAATATGGCTATATTTATGTGTCATATAGGTTTATTGGGAGACTGGTGCTCAAATCACATCTCCACATGATAAAGAAATTCTGAAATGTATAGAAGAGTGTGTGGAACCCTGGAATGGTTCTTGGAATGATAATTTAGTGGACACCAGCCCACTGAAGAAAGATCCTCTGCAGGACATTTGCAAGAAATACATGGAAGATCTGAAAAAGATCTGTTTTCACAGGTATCCAAGTGAGACTGTAGGATAACCTTAGAATAAGGTTAACATATATCCAGGCCTGGCTCCCTTCCCATCCTCCCTCCCTCTTCTTCTCCCTCTCCTTCTTTCTTTCCCTCCTTCCCTCCGTATCTCCCTCCCTCTTTTTGTCTTTCCTCCCCCCTCCCTCTCTTCCCACTAACACTCTAGGAAGTACTAGGTCATATTAAAAACAGAAAAATTAATATGAGGGGCCTGTCACTTCCCAAGGACAAGAAAACCATAAAAATGAAGAATCACTGTAATTATCTGACATACAAAAAGAAAACCAGTGGTCATTAGTTATACTAAGAAAGTACAGTATTGGTATTTCTAGACTGAAAATCACTCATTCCATGCTTTTAATGGATTGTGAATCTTTGCTTTTAAAATTATTCTCATAATTTTTGTTTTTCGTGTGTAAATTCCATTTCAGAGTTAAAGAGTTGACTGAAAGAGGAACATTTTTTCAAGGAAAAAAATCTACTTTTTTTTTTTTTCTGTGCTAGGTATTGAACTCAGGGCTTTATACATTCTAGACCAGCACTCTACTGTTGATCTAACTCCCTAAAAGTCAGCTATTAAATGCAGAAAGAAAAACAGAATTGAAACATCACAATTTTGTGATCTTGATAGTGAACCTTAGCAGCCAGAGCTTAGGAAATTACAGATGGATGAATGAAGATGACAGGACACTGATGAATATTAACTGTGAAATTAGCATTATGGCTTCCTCTTATGATTCAGTGGAAAATACACATCTATTCTTGCCAAAGAAATTGGAATAGAATCTACTATGGCCTCTAGAGTCAGTGACCCATTCACAGTAGAAACGGATCAGAGAAATATACTAATATAAACAAGGACTGCGATACAGCTTGGCTAGTAGAGTGAATGTCTAGTATGGGACAGGTCCTCCCTGGGTTGAATCCCTAGAAATGCACAAACTAGGCATGGTGATATACCACATGTAGTTCCAGAGCTTGGAGATAGGACCAGAAGTTCATGGTCATCCTCAGCTACATACTAAGCCATCTGGACACATTTAAAAGATCTGGTTTCAAACTGAAAGAGAGGAAGGGAGGGAGTGGGAGAGGAATGGAAAATAAAACGAATTATGAAAAGGATGCAGAATTTGCATACCAAGATGGGACATTTTCTTGGGGGAGAACAGGGATTGGAGACTTAAGGAAAGGACATTTTTAAATTAAAAGATACTTGAGGGACATAGCAACCAGATGATATTTTTTTAGACCCTTGGAAAAAGTATGAACACTTATAGGATATTAGACAACATTTAAAAATTAATGTTCAGTTTTTTTAGATGTCATAGATAATGGAGGTATAAATGTGTTTTTAAATACTGAAGTATTTTGGGCAAAATAATGTGATGTTGAAGAAGTAAAGCCAGGCTGAGAGAATTGAGAAATGTTGAAGCCAAGTGCCAAATACATATGGATATTGGATGTTCTCTTTATGGGCATTTTGAAAGCTGTTATGAAATATTTGTTATTTATTTTATAAATTTTGCTTATTATAGGAAGTGGTTAGTAAGTGATAAGTAAAGATATGTGTGATTTTCCTTTACAGGGACTTAAATTCAAAGACCACCTTGAAATTTGTACATACCTCCTTTCATGGAGTTGGACATGACTACGTGCAGTTGGCTTTTCAAGCATTTGGTTTTAAGCCTCCAATTCCAGTTCCAGAACAGAAAGATCCAGACCCAGACTTTTCTACTGTTAAATGCCCAAACCCTGAGGAAGGAGAATCTGTGCTGGTATTGTTTTTAATATTTAAATTATTCTTAACTGATCAGTCAGTCAGAGTAGTTGGGAATGAGTGACATGTCAAAGATGATTTACATGTTTCCCTCTTGCTCTGCAGCAAGCACCGTAATGTGCACCTTTTACATTGTATTTGAGCCATAAGGAGTTTTGTTTGAAAGTGGCCTTAGCTCTGTTTCTCCAGGCTGCATGCTTTCTGAAATTCATATCACTGACTTAGTGCCTACATTTCGGAACAGGAACATTGGATTTAGGTTCTTTAGGATAATCTAACGTTATTGGATCTCTGTCTTAGGAACTGTCCCTGAGACTGGCAGAGAAAGAAAATGCCCGGATAGTGCTAGCCACAGATCCTGATGCAGACCGGCTGGCAGTCGCAGAACGTCAGGAGAAGTAAGTTCTAAATGGGACACCTACATCACCTCACCTCGAGAATTAAGGGTTGTCACAGAAGGGGGAGTGTAAAAACTCTAAGAGCAGAGGCAGTAAGTGACCACAGCACAACTGTGTGTTTAGGACAAGCAGGTCAGCTGCACATAGGAACTCACAGCACTGGTGAGACATAGAAGGAGGCTCGTGGAACTCATTGGCTAGCCAGCCTCGCTGAATTGTTGATGTCCACGCTCAGTGAGAGACCCTGTCTCAAAAAAACAAGGTGGGGAGCTAGTGATTACCAGCACATACTTTTCTTCCTGAAATTCTGGGTTTGATTCTCAGCACTCACTCAGGTGGCTCACAGCTGTCTGTCCTCCAGTTCCAGCGGATACAACACCCTCTTCTGGTCTCCAGAGTAATATAGGAAGCTCACTTCTGGCCACACATACGGACATACATGTGCACACAGGTTATACGTGTCTATCCTGTATACCAAAAAGAAGGGAAAATGTTTTGTCAAAAGTTCCATATAATAGCTTTGGGGGTTTCCCATCCAAAGGAAGGTGATTTGAAGGTCTTCATGGGAAGCTACAAAGATCCTGACTTTGACTTTTCATTCTTTCCACAGCGGTCACTGGAAAGTTTTCACGGGAAATGAGTTGGCGGCTTTGTTTGGGTGGTGGATGTTTGATTGCTGGAAGCAGAACAAATCAAATGCTGATGTGAAGAATGTTTACATGCTAGCCACCACTGTCTCTTCTAAAATTTTAAAGGCAATTGCACTTAAAGAAGGATTTCATTTTGAAGTAAGAAAGAAGCGGACTTCATTAGAAGTCGATGCTACTTTTCTAAACATTTCTATAAAGACATCTCTGCACCAAAATGACTTTCATTAATCTCATTGATAACTTTCCCAGTTTTCTAACTGTTCACATTTGTTTGATATTTTTGATATCAAAACACCTGAGCCCTTTAAAGTCATCTAGTATGTGAATTTCTGACTAAGATGAACTGTTCTTCAAGACTTTACAATAGTACTCCTTATTCCATGAAATAATGTCTGGGAATGTTGTGTGGGAACATGCATCATTTTAGACTGGGAAAATCTGGCTTATCAGTAACATAGACTTAAGAAAATACAGACTTATTGAGTCTTTGCTTCTGCTGATCAAACACAGAATTATGACTTGTTAACTTATGTGTAACTCTAAATTGCAAACTACGGCCCAGTGACTCTATAGTCAGAAAATGAGTAGTGACTCTCAGGCTGGATCATTGAATTTTGTAAGCCTCGGGCAGTTGGTGACCCTTTTTTTACAGCTATGTGGACTAATGACTGGTGGTTAGTGAGCTTTATTGCAGCCACTTGGACTAATGTCAGTTAAGTTGTCTTTCTTCTGTCATCTTTGTTATCATCAAGCTTTGGGTTTTAATTCTATTTAGACAAGTAGAAGACGATTCTGGGCTGGAGAGCTGGTTTAGTGGGTAACGTTTGCCTTGCAGTCTTGGGTGCCTGAATTTGAATGCCCAGAACCCATGGGGAGTTGAATGCAGTAGTTCGTGCATGTGATTCTAGTCCTCCTTTGACAAAATGGGGTTCAAGGATGGGAGAATCCCTCTAAGCTCATGGGCCAGCTGCCCCAGTGAATGCAATGGCAAACGACGACGAGACCCTGTTTGAAACAAGGTTGAAAGATGAGGACCAACTCACAAGGTTGTCCTTTCAAGTCCACATGTGGACTGTGGGAGGCCCTCGTTCAATGCCTGTGTATACATACCCATCATGTACAACAAAAAAGAAAAAAAAAGAATATTTTGCTTGTTAAACACAAATACAAAATTAGAAGATACTGAAATTTTATTCAAGCCTAAGATCCTGAATTACAATGTTAACATTTTCCTTGCTTATAGCAATATATATAATATGAAACTTGAGAACAGTTTTATAAAGAACAGTATTATAAATTTGTTTTTACTGAGGATACTGTTGGCTTTTCCATTTCTATTTTCTTTTTCTTTTCTTTTTTTTTGAGAGGAAGCAGAAGAGTAAATTAGGAAACAGATTAGTGATGGTAAGCTCTAGAATTAATGTGTGTGAAGTGCCCTCTATTGACATTAAAGCAGGGCATGTCTTGCGATTAGACAGTAGCTCATCAGATGAAAAGCCCTCATATCTAACTACAAAGGGGCTTGGTAAAGGCTTGTGTACACCACAGTGATGTGGAACGGTACACGCAGTTCAAGCATGTGGTGTGCTTATGTTGCATCACTAAAAAAGGCTTGAATACCCAAGAAGACTAAATCACATCCTTCATGAGTGCTCGCATTAAGGTTATGATGTGCTTAAAGGACAGTTTTAGGAAAGCAATATAATTAAACTCTGCCTCCATCCTTTATGTGCAGTCTTGGGAACAGCATTTCTGAGCTTCTGCTATGGCAACAATGATTGTGAGCACTAGGAGGGTGATGTGAACCACTCATCACAATACTTAATAGGCAGTAGATAATCGTAGCATATGTATATGCACACCTCATTTTGCATCTGTATTCATCATCCCTTAAAACGTGTTATATTTGATATAAATCACCTGTTGCTCTGCTCGTGGGTCATTAATTGGGCCTATGTGTGTGGTTATGGTAGCTAGTAACTATGTGTCTACCACTAAATGAACCTTCTAGCACCAAGGACCATGACAGAAGCTCACTATGCGGGGTTATGTGCATTCAGAGATAAGTGCTCATCAGAGGCACTTAACCGGAGTGTCTTCCTCTACATTTCAGGAAACTTTACCAGGCTTTAAATGGATTGGAAGTAGGATAAAAGACCTCCTAGGGCATGGAAAGGAAGTTCTTTTTGCATTTGAAGAGTCTATTGGTATGTAGCAAATACTAATAAACTTTTGTTTCAGTTGAAAGCATTTTAAAAGATGATAATTCTGTAGAGATGAGACGTTTTCCTTCTGGCTGTAATTTTGAGTTGCAGAATTGCAGACTCATGCCTAGTAGTATATATGTCTTTCGAGTGGACAATAGCTCCTCAGATGAAAAGCCCTCAAATCTGATTACAAAAAAGACTAGGTAAAGGCTTTATATTGGCCACAGTGTTAAGGAAAGGTACGTGCAGTTTAACCATGTGTGGTGCTTATGTTGCATTGCTAAAAACTTCGATTACCTAAGAAGTAAATCACAATACGCAGGTGCATTTTCCATCAGAGAAGAACTGAAATGTCCATGCATGCATTCTATTACTAGAATCTTACAGAGTTGGGTCTTGTTGTTTTGTTGTCATTGTATTTTGTGGTTAATGTTTTTATTTTGAGATTTTGGTTATTACAGCGTAGGCTGGCTTTGAACTCCCAGTTCAGCCCCTTGAGTGATAAGATATAGTCATACATTACCACACCTGGCTTGATACTATGCTCTTCAGTTCACTGGTCAGCAAAGAAATGCAAAACTGTGGAAATTATAGGCTGAAGTTTTCCCCTTTTCTAATGACACTGTGTAACCCTCAGGCTTTCTGTGTGGAACCTCTGTGTTGGATAAAGATGGAGTGAGTGCAGCTGTTGTTGTTGCTGAAATGGCCTCTTTCCTGGAAACCAGGAAGGTAACACTGACGGAGCAACTGATGAAAGTTTATGAGAAGTGAGTTCTCACATGAGCCTCATGTGACAGATCTGCCTCACTTGCTTTTTTTTTTTTTTTTTTTTTTTCGGTTTTTTGGTTTGGGGTCCTTTTCTTAGTTTGTTTTTGAGGAACAGATTTCTTTACTATTAAAATTATCAGTATCACTTTCCATAAAATATTGTGTTGGCTTATCTTTAATATGTATATGTCCCAAGTTACCTAGCGTCTTTCAATCTCGTTGCAGATACGGTTATCACATGTCAAAAACTTCCTATTTCTTGTGCTATGATCCACCTACCATCAAAACTATATTTGAAAGGATTCGCAATTTTGAGTCTCCAAAGGAATATCCAAAGTTTTGTGGGGCATTTGCTATCTTGCATGTGCGGGATATAACCACTGGGTATGACAGCAGCCAGCCCAATAAGAAATCAGTAAGTACCTTTTCTTTTTTTCAAACAATGAAGATAACATAATGACTCAAGTAAACCAAAAATCTTAAGCTGAAACAAGATCCAAGCATAAGATCACATAAGATCCAGATAGAAGAGATGCACAGGTGAGATTCTAGAGGTGAAGGCCTGACAGGACCTCCTAAGCTTGTAGTTCTCAGTCTTCCTATTGCTGTGACCCTTTCATACAGTTCCTCATGTTGGAGTGACCCCCCCAACCATAAAATTATTTTGTTGCGATTTCATAACTATAATTTTGCTACTGTTAAGAATTGTAATATAAGCATCTGATATGCAGGATATCTGTTACGCCACCCCAAGGGGTCACGACCCACAGGTTGAGAATGGCTTTTCTAAGCACTAACCAGGTTATCACCTTCCCGGCATTCTGCGTGTTCATCTGGAAGTTGAAGCTCCTGGGAAACAACTCTTTTTAAAAGGAAACTAGTTGTCATAATCCATACTATCGCAAAAGAGTGGCCCCTAGTTTTTTGAGGGTAGGACCCACTGTTTTCTGCCAGAGTAGTTTCAAGTGCAGTAACTAGTCTCTGATTTTGACACTCATGCTCCCCAAGTAATCATCTGTACTACTGGCACAAAGCAAAGTGGGCTTGGAGAAGAGGGACCAAGGAAGAAGAGGAAGTGAGAGAGGAAGTGTGCAGTGGTGATAAATGATGTGGGCGAATTAAGTCTAAAAGCTTTAAATTTCAGAGCCCTCCATCTTTCTAATTTTAACATGTTTCCAGCCTGACTCCCTATACCTCTAAACAAATCACTGATGATTTCTTAAACACAAATGTTGAAGATTTTTCTGTATTTTGGGTCAAGTTGTTTCCTTAGTTTCCCTCATTTCCTTTCTGCTGTAGGTAAGCCCATACTTCACCATTTCTTAAGACTCAAGGCAAGGGGTGATGGTGATGGGCACTTACCTAGAATGCTTAAGACTTAAGGCAAATGTTACATCCTCTTTAGGACTTGCAGATCCCGTAATCAGTTACCTTCTTGGATTATATAATAGTACCTTTGTTGACATCTATTTATGTCATTGTCGCATTGCATGTGGCAGGCCATTTCCTGTATGCCTCTCGACTCTTACCTGTGTGGTAGGTGCTTAATAGATACTTAAGTGTCATAAGTTCTTATCATTCATTTTATTATGATTATGATGGCAAGTGGTAGCTTAAATTTTCATTTGTAATGTTCAGATGTGTCAATATTTTAATACTGTATTTAACTCGTGTTTGTATCCTTTCCATTTTAAATATTTTTTTTTATTCTTTGAAAATTCCATACATACGTACAATGTCTTTTGATCTTATCCATCCCCAACTCTCTGGGATCCATCAACCTGTCTCCCTCAGAACTTCATGCCCCTTTTTATAATCTTAGCAATTTTAAAACATACAGTTCTGTAATGTTAAGTGTATTTATATTATTAGTATACAACAGATTTCCAGAACTTTCAACCTTGATAAACTGAAATTCTGAACTCATCAAACAAATCTTGGCAACCACCAGTCTACTTTGTTTTTATGAATTAGACACCTTAGATACTTCATGTAAGTGCAGTGTATTTTATAGTTCTTAAAAATGAAGATGCAGGTGTAAACTGTTTCATTTTGCATAGGTACTGCCTGTGAGTAAAAACAGCCAAATGATTACATTCACTTTTCAAAATGGCTGTGTTGCTACTCTTCGAACAAGTGGGACAGAACCAAAGATAAAGTATTATGCAGAGATGTGTGCATCACCTGGCCAGAGGTGAGAACTGATTCTTTTGCATATATATGAGAGCTATATTATATACAACCAGAACATTTTTATAACTCCAAAAAGAGGCTTCCATACCCTTTAGAAGTCCTTCAGAGCTCTAAGCAATCACTAATCCACTATCTGTTCCTATAGATCCACATATGCTGGACATGGGTTACACTTTTTCTTGTTTTCGGCACTTGAAAAGAAGGGAGCATTTTTGGGGGTCATATTTTTTTAAGGTTTTGAAGTTTTGGTTCACAGTTGTCAGGATCCATTGCTTTGGACCCAAGGCAAGGGTGAACATGATGTCACATGTGGAGGAGGAAGGGATCAGGTAAAACTTTGAAAGCTTAGCCCCAGTGACCCATTTCCTTCAGGTCCATTCTACCCCAGCTAGCACCAATATCCGAAGACAAGACAGGGCGTGCATAACACCTGAGTCTGCGAGGGGCATTTCAGATTCAAGCCACAGCAGGACAATTTATATAAGTGAAATACAGTATGTGGCCCTCAGTGGCCGAAAGCATCCTTGGTCCCCAAATATGCCACTGTATGCCATGTTTTTAAGTCCACTCATCAGCTATCATTTCGACTATTACTTTTTAAGCTATCAAGAATGGTACAATTATGGGTATTTATGAATGAGTTTGTATGGCATGCACTTTTGTTTTTCTTGGATATATATGTGAGAATAGGATTGCTGGGCCCTAAGATAACTATGTTTTTACCTTTTGAGAAACTGCCAAACTCTTTTTCCAAAGAAGCTGTATCACTGGAAATCAAATTTCAAAATTATAGTGACTTTCTGTTCTTGGGAAGACCCTGAAATTTAATATAAAGAAATGATATATTAAATCTTGTTTTCTGTATCTGCCATGGTTTTGCATAATCCAGTTTATTTTCTAAAAATATGAGTGCAGTTTGTCACAGATTGTTAGTCTATTTAAGATTATTTAAAGTATTTCTTTTGATATATCCTTCATTGACAAGTGAATTTTGGGGGAGGATTTTTTTTTTTTTTTTTTTTTTTTTTTTTTTTTTTTTTTTTTTTTTTTGTCTCCAGAACACACTAGGGTGTGTCACTTTGTATTTCCCTGTTCCTGTGTACTAAAATTGAGACAAGCTCTCACTAGATAGCCCTGGCTGGCCTGGAAATAGCTGGCCTCAAACTTACAGAAATTACCTGTCTCTGCCTATCCAGTGAGTGCTGGGACTCCTTTCTGATACATGTAAGATATGTAGTATTGTTCCATGTCACCTGTACTGCATGTCCTTTAGTACCTCAAGAAGCCATTTCATAATACCCGGTATTGGCCTTCTGAGCTATTAAACTGCCCAACTGGTAAGTTACTGGAGCACCAGTGAAGGAGGACCATTGCCTGCCCCCAGCCACTCCTGCTGCGAAACCTCAGCTTCATCTCTCGCTGGGAGGCGAGTTCCAGAATGAAGAGCAAGAAGGGCGTTGTTGCAGCGTCTGGCAGTGAAACTGAGGATGAAGACCGCATGGACATTCCCCTGGACCTTTCCTCTCTGGCAGCCTCAGGCAAGAGAGGGAGGAGAGGCAACCTGCCCAAGGAGTCGGTCCAGATCCTGCGGGGCTGGCTGTATGAGCACAGAAACAACGCGTACCCCTCGGAGCACGAGAAAGCGCTGCTCTCACAGCAGACACACCTGTCCACACTGCAGGTCTGTAACTGTTCAACGCCTGCTGCAGGCCCCTCCCCGACATGCTGAGAAAGGATGGCAAAGATCCAAATCATGATGTCCCGCCGTGGGGCCAAGATTTCAGAAGCTAGCTCTATGGAAGCTGCAATGGGAGGTATCAAAAACTTCATGCCAGCTCTAGAAGAGAGCCCGTTCCATTGCTCGGCTGGACCCAGCCCAACGCTAGGGAGGCCAGTGTCTCCCAAACCTTCCTCTCCAGGATCCATTTTGACTCGCCCATCAGTGATCTGCCATGCCACTGTGACTTCGTTGAAAGATGGGCCTTTCTCTCTCTGCCAGCCAGTTGGTGTGGGACAGAGCACAGATGTACAGCAAATAGCGGCCAGCAACTTTACAGATATCTCTCTCATGTACCCAGAGGACGCTTGCAAATCTGAACGGAGTCCAAACCCTCAGAGTGTTCTTTTCCACACTCCTCCCCTAACTCCACCTGACCTCAACCAGGATTTTAGTGGATTCCAGCTTCTAGTGGATGTCTCTCAAATAGGCGATAGAGATGGAGCTTCAGGCCAAACTCACAGCTTCATAGTTTTCCGGACAAAACTGTTTTCCAAAATATGGTCCTGATTGCCGGGGGTGATAGCAAGAGATGCATTATTTTATTTTTCTATTAATATTTGCACATGGGATTGCTCGAACGAAGCTTCCTGTTACTAAGATGTCTTCAATGGAATACAGTCATTCCAGGAACTACAGACTAAAGCTACTGTAGAAACAAAGGGTTTTCTTTTTAAAATGTTTCTTGGTAGATTTTTTTTTTTTACAATGTGAGATAGTTCCCAGTATCATGTGATCTTCTCCCCATTCCTCTTTTGTGATGTTTTTTTATTTTTATTTTTTTCAGACTGTGCAATATGTAGAAGCCCTAACTAGCTTCTTTCTGTCCCATGTGGATCAGGATGCCACATACAGTCTAATGGATAAACTTTAAGTTTTGGGTTGTTTTTTTGTTTTGTTTTTAAGATTCAAACAAGTATGATTCTAGTTGTTGAATACCTTTTTCATGATGTAATAAAGTATTTTCTTTAAAAGTTAAAAAAAAAAAAAAAAAGCCTAACCCAGGAGAATTCATTGGCCATAATTAACTCATACTTTCTCATGGGCCAGAAGACACCTAGTAATGTAGTTCTATTTTAGCTTATGGTTGTTTTGTATATGATTTTGGGAAGGGAGGATTCTGAGACATGGTTTCTTTGTGTAGCCTTGGCTGTCCTGGAACTCACTCTGTAGACCAGGCTGGCCTCCAACTCAGAAGGCCTCCTGCCTCTGCTTCCTGCCTGACTGCTGGGATTAAAGGCATGTGCCACCACTGCCTGGCTTGTGTGTAAATTTTTTGAGAGAGTCTTCTTTTGTTTTATTTTAACTAGGTGAGTTTCTATTTTGCTTGTCAAGTTTTAGTTATCTCATCAGATACATGCCTTTCTTAAAAGTGGAAATAACTGAAATAGATGGTAAGGCTGTGAAATTAAGAATGTTAAAGCTCTTTGTCTTTTTCCCTCAGTGACACTACCTTACTGGAAGAAGAATTAAAGAAGCTCATTGATGCTCTGATAGAGAATTTTCTTGAGCCCAGTAAGAATGGACTGATCTGGCGTTCTGTGTAGGGCATATCAGTATGTTACCACTTCGCCTTGGCATATGGAATGAAACATCCAAGAACTCGATACAGTGAACCTTGTGTTGAAATTCTCTCATCTGCCAAGTTATCTTTTCCCTTTTCTTTCCTGTGTTCAGCTAAATAGATTATATACATTTGAAATGAAAATGTTTGGAGGGATATGTGTCAAATATTTTCATGATCTTAAATGACAGTCATTACATTGAAAGTGTTCCAGTGGCACGCCATTTCTCCCATATTACAAACAATCCAAAAGTGAGTTTTCTTATTGAACTGTGGCTAAGCTTAGTTACATATCTTGTCATTGTGTATAGCATGGTTTAAAAGAAGTTAAACATTATATAACTGTAGGGTTAGTTAAGGAAATTATTTCTTAAAGTTGTATGTGTGGCTGGGGGTACTGTTCCTGACTAGTGTGGAAAAGTGTTGTTGTTATGTTGTAGGTATTGATTTTTCAAATTAGAAACCCAGCTTGGTGGCACATTCCTGTATTTACAGCCCTCAGGAAGCTGAGACAGGAGAATCATTAGTTAATTTATAGCCAGCTTGGGCTGCATAGTAAGACTCTGTCTCAAAAAAAAAAAAAAATGTTTCTAGGTTATTTAGATTTTCTGATTTAGGACAGATGTTACAGTCTGTGGTGTTTGCACCTCGTTTTGGGTGCCCTTGGTGTGGTGTATATTTACCGTATGTATTTAAGACTGATGTTTACTGAACATAAAACAATAGTGGCAGCACTCCTAGTGGTTTTGTTCTTGTCCAATTTTTCAATCCATTCTCAGGGTCTAGCATGAACTGAAATGATATTCCTGCATTGAATATAATTTCATCAGTCCATTTTCAGATAGTTAAGGAAAATCTTCTAACCTATATAGGTGCTTTCTCTATAGAAAACAGATTTGTCAGCTCTAAAAATGGTTGTAGAAAAAGATCTTAATAAAATCTGGCTTGATGTAACTGTAATTGAGTCTTCATGCTAGGATTCAGATATTATAAACTATAAGAGAAAATAATCTGTACTGTGGAATGAGTATGAAATTTATTTGACAGTCTTTGAATTTACATTTTTACAATTATATTTATTTTATCTGATAAAGTAATGCTAACTTTATTAAGAAATGAAACATCAAGATTTAAATATTTTCCAAAGCTATACCACCTTGATTCAATACCCAGCCTCATTTTACCTCAGAAGCTATACAAGGCTAAGTTTGGTTGGTGCTTGGGTAGGAAGTTTGAAACACTGAAACTGATGTTTAAAACTAAGAATTTATTTAATGTATTGCTGACTTTGGAATTTCTGATCATAAATATCATAAATATTCTTCATTTTTTATCAATATGAAAATAGTTTTCAGGAAAGTCATTTATGGTTGATTCTCTAGCCTTCTGAAAAGCCCTAATAGAGAAATATTGTCTAAGCTTTTCAAATTGTATATTTCTCTACATAGTTTACAGAATACACAGTATAGTTAGGATAACAGTTACGAGGCCTTGGGGTATAAGCATTTAAGAAAAGTTGCCTATAGAAGACAGCACTGATGTTAGATAATTTATTTCCTAAAACTAATAATATAAAGCCTAAACTGATTAGAATGTTTATTAAATCATAGTTTGGTTTGGTGGAGCTTTCAGCTAATTTTGGTTGAGCTCATATAATCCAAACACAGTTTTTATATTGTTGCCACTATTGCTATGTTCCTTCTCTGCTGTCTCAGAGCAGGGTCCTGTATTATGGCTGTAGATGATAGATAGTTAATATACAGTGCCATTTTTCTGTATGAGTTTACGTTAAAGGCTTTGCACTAGAGAAGTGGTGTATAGAATTTTTGTTTTGTTTTTAAATGTATAAAACATTTTATTGGCTTTTAGGAGTGTAAATTTAGGAAATGGCATGTATTCAACAAAGTGGCATAATCAAAGCTGTATATGGAAAAAAATGCATATTCGGTTTTAGTGTCTGTGTCCCAGTGGCCCAAGAACAAAATGAAACTGAAGTGATGTGACAGCCTACTTATAACCAAAAAAAAAAAAAAAAAAAAAAAAAAAAAAAAAAAAAAAAAAAAAAAAGCCACATCATGATTGTCATTTGCTTATGAAGAGAACATTTTTGAATGCTTTAGCATGTGCAAGAGATAAGTCATCGTAAAGTGAAGTTACTGACATGTGAGCTCTTATCTTGAAAAGTTAAATTTCAACTATATATAAAGGTTCCCAGAGTACATAGGTTAAGGAGACTGATTTTTGTCTTATTTTTGTTTGATAAACTTGACACAATGGGTGCCTAGGTGCCTAACAAAATAAATTTAATAGCAGCCCCAAAAAGGGGTGCCAGCTTGTGAGTATCAGCCTTGGGGTAAACAACATTATTTATCTCTTCCCTTTTCTCAGCAGTAGAAAGGGAATGAATACATTCTTTTTGAGCACATAAATCAAAACAGGTATTTTCTGGAGCTCTGAGGAAAAGAGTTAGGCTAGGACATAGCCCAATGGCAAAGCACTTATCTAGCATGCAGATAAAGCAAAGCTTACAGTTGATCCCTGGCAATGCAAGGGGCGGGGGTGAGAGGGAGAGAGAGGGTTATTAGAGCAAAGCCAAAGCATAACGTGTAAGTAACAGTAGAGACTGACAAACAGCACATAAAGGCCAGTGACAACAGCGTTGAGAAATGCCTGTGAAGCACAAACGAGGCTCTGTAACGGTTGGGTAAGGTGTATGCAAGGCTGGGCACTTGTGTTTGTTAGGGGCGAGTGAGCCAGCAAGCCTACCACTCTCCTACAGTAGTGACCACTGAAAAGAAGCCCAGGTCTAGGAGATGAGTTAAAAACATTCTTCCTGTGGATTCATTTCTGCTGAGATGTTTCAGAATCACATGAGAACCAGAGAAGAAAAAGAGCGAAACTGAAAGAAATAAAATCAAGGACTGAAAAATATAACCTCTAAGGAAAAGCTCAAGGGATTGGGATCACTGAACTCTGAAACGGAGAGCTTTGAGATCATTTACTAAGTCATAAGTGTTCGTCGGGGTTTTTACTGAAGGTATCAAACTGAGAAGCACCAATGGCACCCTGATCTCTCTTGAAGACGCCACAGGGGCTGAGGATATAAAAGGAATAGGCAGGACCTTCTCTCAGAACAAGAAGACATGGTGGTTACACGGGGACTGGTTGAAAAGTGAGTCAGCAAGGGTAGGAGAGGGCTCAGAGAAGGATAATGGGCGACTATGATCATAATACGTTCAATACACGCATGTAAGTGTCAGAAATGAATGACTAGACAATGGGAAATGTTCAAGAGGTAAGAATTTATGGGAAAATGATCACACAACCTATTTGAAATCTTATTTTTGATGGAGTGATATTTGAAATTTAAGGTATATACCAAATGGCAATTTGAAGAGTCCATCAAACATATTTTTAAGAATCAGGCTGAAACAAGACTTACAGAGAGCACCTGCGGTAACGTTTGCGTTTCACTTCATGTCTGGAGTCTGGCTCACAGGGAACCTGTGTGTATTTTGGATGGTAGGTGCATGAGTGCAGTGATGGGTGTTCTTTTTAATTTGAAAACTTTGAGACTTGAACATGCTTGTACTCATCTGGGAGAACACACAGCTTTAAAGGACATTTGAGATGTATTGCAAATATAAAGTATCAGAATTTGGATGTAGTAACCGAAGAGAGATTCCAAGAAATTAGATACTTTGTGATATCTGCATATAGCAAATAGGCCCCTCCCCCCCACACACACTGCATTTCTTCATCAAGATGCTTCTGGAATTGATGCAGCAGAAGCATAAATGGGAGTCTCCTGGAGACTTCAATGAATGCTGCTTTTACTGCAGTTTTCAGACTTTCCACTGGTATTTGTAAAGCTTGAAGAGTACAGGTTCTACTTGGATACATTTAATTTCGTATTTTTCTTGCTCTACCTCCCTCTTCCCAAGCAACCCTCCACCTTCTGTTACTGTGAAATGTTACTACCCTGTTACCTCACTGTTAAGAATCTTAACTGTGTTCATTCAGATGGCTTTATACTTAGTTGTGAATTGTTTATAGACTTGTTTTCATTATTATCTGAACATTTGAGATGTACTGTATAAAGTTACTTTAATATCTTTCAAAGCCCTTTTCTGGTTGTGTAGAGACTACTAAATAGTATCACTGTGGGCTTTTACAACAAACTTGTTATCTAAATTCGTTCTAGAAACTGATGAGGAAACAGTTATACTGACCAAAGTGGATCTAGCATTTATTAGAGGTTGCCTGTGCCTTGGGGCAATGAGAGCACAAAAATTCGAGGAAATATTTTTCTCATATATGTCCCTCACAGCATTTTACCATAAGCTGAAGTATGAATAGAGAGCTGGTTGTGGTTGCTCATATGTATACTCTCAGCCCTGGAGAGGTTAAGGCAGGAGAATTTCTATGAGTTCAAGGTCTACTTAGGCTACATGGAGAGATTTAGAAAAAGAAAAGGCTATAATAGAAGAGAATGGCACGTTGTCTGCCTCTTTACAAAGCATTGACTAAGTACCAGTCAGAAACAAAATTAATGTTTATTATTTTTAACTATTCACGGTATTGGTACACCCAACAACCAGTCTTCTGTTAGTTGAAGGCTATCTACTTTAAAAAGAGAACTTATAGGGGCTGGAGAGATGAATCAGAGGTTAAGAGCATTGGCTATACAGCTAAAGGTCCTGGGTTCAACTCCCAGCAACCATGGTGGCTCATAACCATCTATAATGAGATATGGTGCCCTCTTCTGGCCTGCAGGCATACATGTAGGCAGAATACTGTATAAATAATAAATAAATAAAATATTTTTTTAAAAGAGAGAGAGCTTATAAATTTAATTAAGAGGCCAAGACAGGAACAGAGTGACCAGAGTTTCCTAAATTTCTCATCAGCAGAACCCTAAAGCAGAGGAGCATGAAAAGGATGGGTAACTAGGCCTTGAAAGCGAATCCCAAAGAAATCTACCACTGATGTGGGAGTCCATGAGAGCCCCTAAGTCACAAGTGAATTCTCAGTTTTCTACAGTAAAATGTAAAGATGAACTTCAATCTCTAGGAGAGAAACACAGGGGCCTAGGGCTGTAGCTCAGTGGCAGAGTGCCTGCCTGACATGCCAGAGGTCCTAGGTACAATATTCCCAGCACCATTTACAAACAAACAAACAAAACACCGAAAGTACCAGGAAGGAACACAAGTTTATCGTGTTACCCTCAATTCCCAGCCCCAGGCCCCACACCTGAAATCGCTGCTTTTTCCTGGAAGGACACACAATGACCTTATTATAAGAAATACACATTTCAGGATATTCTTTGCCTTTCTAACCTATACTTGCAAAGTATTACTGCCAGATTAATTGAACTGCAACAGCTATATTACCCTTGAACTTTGTAATAGTGCCTGGTGTATAAACCAATTTATTTTAACTCACTGACACTCCTTCACATGCCTGTCAGCTGCCTGAGCGCTGGTTTCTGTTTATTGTTTTTGATAGCTACTCTCCTTAATATCTGATCTCCTTAATCCAAATCAGTTTTGCAGTATTTAACTGGTGATAATAGCAATAAAGGAAAAAGTTTAAAAGAGAACAAAACAGTAACATCCCAATTTAGTTTTTAAAATATTACTGAAATATCCAGTAAGCAGTGTTTACTAAGCATGCACACCCTTAAATATTCAGTGTCTTAGAGTTTATATATTGTGGTAAATGCCATGACCAAAAACAACTTGGGAAGAAAAGGGTTCTTATTTCTGTTTCATCTTAGAGCTTGTAAGTCCATCACTAGGGGAGCCAGGGAAGGAACTCAGGGCAAGAACCTAGAAGCTGGAACTGAAGCAGAGGCCATGGAGGGGTGCTGCTTACTGGCTTACTCTCCATGGCTTGTCTGCTTTCTGATAGCATCCAGGACCACCAGCCAAGGGGTGGCACCACACAGTGAAATGGGCCCTCCCACATCAGTCATCAAGAAAATGCCACCATCCAGTCTGATGAGGGCATCTTCTCAATTGAGGTTTCCTCTTCTAAAATGACTAGCTTGTGTCAAGTCGACATAAACCTAATGCAGCACAATCGGAGTTTCTTTGGGGAGTGCAAAGCATCTTTCTACATGAAAACTATAAGATATATAGCATTTTGCTCACAAAACAAGGTTTTGGCCAGGAAGGTTAAGAATGTATCTTAAGTGGTTTGGATGCCATTTTGAACCTGATAAGCCTCACCTCTCCAGTGAGTCACATCTGATTTGATATTGGTCGATGCATTTTGTCCAATATTAGAATTCATCATGTGTGTTATTGGAGTCACTCAGGCAAAAGAAAAAAGTGGGAAGAGTCTGCATCTGTATATGGTGAGACCTTTTTATAGGTTACAGTAAGCTCTTGGTGTACATTACTGAATATAACAGATAAAACACAGGATTAAGAATAGATTTTCTAATAGTATCTCAGAGTTGTGCCCTTGTTTTAACAGTTTCTGTCAATAATCCCATCTTTCCCTGTAAAAATAACAGGGTATACTGTTAGCTTGTGAGAATTTGCACTTTTATGTGTTCGTGTGTGGATTTCTGTGATTTTAACCAAATGAAATGTTCTCAGTAATAAACAGGTCTCTTCATAGTCACGCATGTCTATGTAATTTTTATTGTCTCAGATACAGTATAGTTCATAAAGTTTGTTGTGTACACTGATGTTCTTAGAATGTGGCCATAACTTACCCTAGAGTTTGCTTGCCATTTGAATTCATATTTCGGGCTCAGCATTCTGTAGATTATTTCTCTATTGGCTCATCTGGAATTCCCAGGGGGTCGAGAACGCATATTAAAATAATAGCTTGCGCCTACAAGGGAAACTGATTTCCCCATGGGGAGGAGGTGTCCTAACATTTCTCTCCATATTTAGGGACCCACTTGAGTACACAGTGGTAGAATCAAGGCATCTTCCTACTCTGCTGTTTCCTCCCTGTTCCAGTTTAAATATGAAATATCCCCCACAGATATGTGTGTTTAAACACTTGCTCCTTAGCTAGTGCCTCC